GGATGGGAGGAACACGTTTCCGAATAAGTCAGAAATAGATGTTTTGCTGTGTCGCTAACTGAGGGCAGGGAGACATACAATCAAAAAAAAAGAATTTCCAGGCTATAATAAGACCCCCTCCTTCCTTCCCACCACTGTGGATACCCCAACGAACAACGAGCACTGCTTGGTCTGCTTCAGAACGGCTGATGTTGCGAAATTAAAGTGGGATCCGACGTTTCCAGATGGAAGTTTATTCAAAAAGCAAATAATTCGACTTTGTTGCGAAATACCCGATTTCACGCTGTCCGGGGTCAATCGACCTCATGAACTCGATTAGTGAATGACGGTGACTCGGGGACGACCATGTGGGTATCCTCATCACTTTGTTAATGAGAGAAGGCGTATCGCGTTTCCGGCCATGTCACGAACGTGGGCGCGGACGTTTTTTCAGCGCTAGTGCTAGCTGGTATTGCCTTCAATCTCACTTCCTCGTTTTATCGTCTTCACGATCATCATCACTATTACCCTGCTCAACGATCATGATGGCTTGGCAACATCAACTGGTATTTCTTCACATATTCTGAGCCCTATTATTTACAATAACAATTATTTACAATATAATGGAAGGCGAAATAACGCAGGATCTTTCGTGCCATGCTACCACGTCACTCGATGAAATTCATTGTGTAAGTCATTTTATTTCATAACTGGTTTACTGCGTTTCTTTGCCACTCACCCGGGAAGTAGTGTCGTTACAGCTAGTGGGAAAAACTTGGACCAAACACACTCTTCCCAATGGATCTGTTGCATTTTTCGGCGCAATTCGCGATAGGATGGGGTGGGGGGGGGGCAGTTTGCGCTCTTATTGCTTCCCATTTTCGTGTTCATTGCTTTACAAGAGCTGACCCGTAGTTTGTACAAAATTCGAGTGTTATCAATTCAAATCTTCGCGATTCACAGTGGCTCCACACGACAATGTGAAGCAGCGAAAGTGCAAAATGCATGCCCTCCCCTTCAGGCTTTTTTTAAATTTGAATGCGAACCCAGGTTCACAGGTCCGGTGAGTCAGGGAGCTGTAAAAAAAATGGAACTATTCACCAAGTCGTTCGTGGGGCAGATTGGTGAAGAATGGTGGAAGGACACGTTGCCTCCACAGGGACATTGTTGGATTTCTTTTTAGAGTTTCTGCGGCGAATGATGTAGGAGGGCCACTCAGACAAGCATCTCCCCTTCTGAGCGATAGCAGTCTCAACCCCAACCGCGCGCGTGGTGAGTGGACCTCTTGTCATTGGGCCATCTCCACCAAAAGCTGAAATAGTAGGACTGAAGAAAGGCACTTTCAGTTAGTGCATGAGAGGTGACGAGCTTCAGAATTCCACAGCGAAATCGAGAGAAGACAACCGGATGTGAGAGAGTGCAGGCAACTAGCACGTTTGGCTATGGTGAGGCGTGGGGCTGACCGCGCGGCAGCGTGGGCGGAGTATGGAGGCGGCAAATGGGTGCTGCCTTCCAGCGCGTTTCCGCGCAGTTTTGACGCTACCGCAGGTGCGGACCCATTCTCCTCACATTCGACAAGGGGCAGGATCCACGGAGATTGGCGTGCATTTAGTTTTGACCTAAGGAAGGAATACATCATAAAGACAAAGCAACTAAATGTGAACAAGAAGTCCTTAGGAGATTGATGGGTTTCCTCGAGTGATTTGCTGATCTGAACCTAGAAATTCCTTGAAACTTACCTGCACGCTGTTGAATTGGAGTGAACCCAAAGGGACTGTTAGTAAGGGTTCGAGAGTTTTGTTTGCTTTTTTGACTACCCACGTCTTTCCAGCGCGGAATGCGCCTTTAAGTTAATTCCCTTTGAGTAAACAAAGCCAGTTCTTCAGTCCTTTGCAAGAACTCATTATGATTCTACGACGCTAAAGTGATCAAATTTCACGATGCAGAGTTTTCTTTCAACCTCATTTCCGGCTTCATTTATGCAATAACTTTGTTGAACACGTTACTTCTTGCCTCATCGTACCGCTATGATTACCATCATGTACTGCAAATAACGAAGTATTCTGTTTCGGTTGACGCTAATCGATCTCTTGCACGAGCACTTAAAGTATTCTGATTACACTCGAAGACGTTGTGGATCCATGAATTCTTCAGTCTTTGGAATACGAGTGCTCTCTCATATATCTCTCAATATTTTGGATAAAAAGTTGTGTACTCGAGTTGAAAGAGAGCTGTGGACCTATTTTTTGACATTCGTTTTATTTCAAGTAGAAGTTCTAAACTTGCAATGTTTCTTTACCAATGAGTTCATATTCTTTCGACTAGAGGGTTCCTAGTCTTTCTTAAGGCTATTTCGAGTTCTGGCCATACCTCTCTTTCCATTACCATTGTTCGCTGCGGATGAAGAGGCATGTCATTGAGGCTGTGTTTGGCGCGCCGCTAGCCCGTTTCTCACCATTTGCGTTGAGAAACGGCAATGACTGATGAAAGGGCTGATACAAAGATACGATACGAGGTTGTTTCGAAAGTGAAGTGAATGGCGTAGTGATGACCGGATGCCGTCTCCTTACTCTGACCGCTCTGCCGCATGGCCATCCGCACGTAACCATAGCCAAACGCGCTGCTTGTATGCGCCCCCTTGTTTCTGGCCGTTGCTACTGCTACGGCTGAGTGCATGTTTCGCTAAATCTCAGCATCGAGGCAGGCGCTAAACTGAGGATAGCGCGGGCACAGTATAGACGGCATCCAGGTATCACCGCTTTGCACCCCTTCTCGTGTGCGTCTGAGCGGGAAAAGTGGCACGAAAGTTGCGACCCATTTATCTCGCACCTGGAAAGACCCGTCTTCAGATGTGAATGCATTGTCTTCGAAAGAGCACGAAAGCCTTCCAAATATTGCACCCGTTGAGCAAAAATTGTATTTTCGCTGATCTCTGCAGGCAGCTGCCGTTGCAACATTCCATTTGCACGATCATAAAAGAATTTTGGGCTAATGAAATCTTGAAACGGATTCCCATGAACTTTTTATGGCCAGGGCTATTGGGTGCCCATTATGCAGCACACCATCTGCCAGGATTTCCTCTTCGTGTTCGCTGCGTACATGAGGATATTATTCTGAGCTCAAGTCAATTTAGCCTACATTGCCACCTGAACCCTCGAATTTTTTTCTCATGAACTTCCTGCACACTCTGGACTTCCTTGAGTGCGGTGGATTGGATCTTGCTCTGTAGCAGCGCTTAATTACGCAAGCAAACCAACTTGAAGGGCTATTTTGACTCAAAAAACGAGCAGTGGGCCTCCTACAGAAAGCGGAAGTGGTCAGTCCTCTAAACAGTGTGAAAATGAAGCAGAAACGGCTTGAAAGGACCAAATACGAAACACGATCCATACTATCCTACACTATCCAACCAGGAAGTGGAAAAATCACACGCTCAGATAGTCGCTTGTCATGGATCAGAAGAAACATTGCGAGAGCTCTACCTGAGATGTAGTTCATACTCAGCCAGCCGCGCGATTTCGAAGTCGCGAGACTGCAGAAGAGCGTGCATGTTCCTTGATCGGTGAACCGTTGCTGCGGGTGAATCCACTGCTTTTCAAATGAATGCTTTTTTGGGCATCGCAAAGGTGCAGCAGTCGGCGATTGAGTGCTACCGGTCATCGCGGAGTATGAACGAATCCTCAGGCTGCATTCACACTTTGCGGCAGCGTCCAACAGCGTCTACCAGCGTCTTGAGGGTCATGGAAATACAGGCATCGATCTAGCGTTGTGAGCGTCCACCAGCGTTCAAAAGTGACCAGTAGTAGAGAGTATGGGGAAGTAGGAGGGCAGCAAACAGCGTCATGAAATTGCGGCGTGGGCAACCGCATCGTAATACAACTCCACTACACCGTACATTAAATTGCATAATTCATGATTTAGCAGCTTGCCTCCTATCTCCCCGTACTCTCTACTACCGGTCTCTGGTGAACGCTGGTGGGCGCGGTAGAACGCCGGCAGACGCCAAGAAGAGGAGATATATCCCACCAAAGCTTTTTGATTCTTATACCGAAAGTTCCTATCAAGATGATAGTAAAGTGCTTGCAAAAAACATTTCACTTTTCCGAACCAAAAGTTTTCAAATAAAAACAAGCCATTACTGGTATTACCAACCTTAATATTGTATCACGGTTTCTCACGAGTTTCTAGTCATAGACGTTAATATGCCGGCTGTTGGTTCTAGCTATATATTAGAGGCATCCTAGTCTGCAGCTAAGGGAGCAGATATTCTTAGGTGGGGCGCGGAGGTAGAGCGTAGGTAAGTGGGTAACTTTGGGTACGTGACTTTAGTGTGCACACAATCGTAGGGCAGTAAGGCCTACCGGCCCTTACTGGACCCCCTAAAACAGTGTGCGAATTCCCGTCTTACAGCTTTTGTCAAAATGTCGTTCGTAAGAGTGTAATTTTCGGAAAATCCATGCAGCACAGTGGTGGAAGAGATCGATCTCATGGTGCTCTCAAAAATTCGATAGCCGAGCTCAGCGAAATGGTCACGTAGTGGGGGTCGTATGGACACCCTTTGTTGTAGGGGACGGGTCTTATTGACGTATCATCATATCCACATGATTTGAGTTGGCCTCTGAAGGCGACGATCTGTTCGAAGGGTTATAACAATAGTAATAAATTCACCTAGCAACCTCGCTGGCACAGAAGAGTAACATCACACTCTATTTTTTTCGATGGCAATAGCGAAGGAAATCATTCAGCTCTCGAGTCCCGACAAAAGGGGTAGTGCTTCGCGTCGATAGCTAATTCTGCATTGAATTTGGTGACTCTCCCTTGCCAGCATCAATAATCAACTCATTTCAATTGCCACTGCTTGCGTTCACCACTCCCCTTTATCACCTCTTGGAATTGTTGCTGCGACGCGTGCTATGAATTGACAGGCACACATGTGAATCCCTGCAAACAGACACACTCCGCAGGATTCTACATAGTAGGATACTTCTACAGGTGTTCCATCTGAAGTTCTGCAAATTAATCACAATTTTGCATTTACGCTTACCATTCGATGTCAAGATGTTCCTGACAGCTTTTAAAGCGTTCGGATTTCGAAAAGGCTTGACGGGACAAAAAAACGGAGTCTCTGTACAGGCATCGATCGCCACAACGTCGTACTTCCTGCCTAGAGAGTTCAATATTGAGCTCGAATAGTCCAAAATGAGTGCATTTTGAAATATGGATCAGTCGGAAGTACAGCATAATCTTGTTCACTGCGATGTCAAACCTTCAGCGGAGGCATTCTCTATGAATTTCACACCGTCGCCAGCAACGACACGGTGATTCTTCGAGTTAACTACTCCGAACCATTTGAAAGCAATTTGTATCATTAGTTCGTCCAATTCAATCACAGTTATATTGACCTGTAATGTGCTCTTTTGAATATTGACCTGTAATGTGCTCTTTTGAGAAGAGCAATTATAGCTAGCTTGAGCGAGTCAGCTTAAAGACACACGGTACGGTTACACATAGTTTGCCTGTACGTATCAGCCCCGTCCGAACATGCGCATGAATGGAGGTCCAGGACCGCGCGACACATTAATTCCTCCATGCCCCGCCTGAATGCAACATGCGTCGCAGACTCCCAATCCCGTTTATACTAACAGCAGTCGGCGTGTCGCGCGCAGCGCTTTTGGCACTTCGCCAAGTCATTAATTGCGCTTTGAAATAAATACGATTGCAGCACAAACTCCTGATGCGGATAACATTTGCATTGTTGTGCTGCTTCTGCAACCTCGCTTGGAGGCCGCGCATTCCCACAAAACATGAAAATGTTGAAGCCGGAATCGCGCCGAATCGCATAAATTTGCATGGGATTTCAACTAGTTAACATTTCTTTGAATTTTTTATTTTAATGTTATTTACATCTACACTCGCTGTTCTTCAGTTGTAGCCTTTGTCATCTTCATCATCTTCGATTCGGACTTTGCAGCATGAGCAATACCTCAAATGTTAGGACAA